TCGTTGAGGGCCTTTCCCTTTTTCGCCGTCCCTCCACTTTGCCAAGCATGATACCCTTCTCCAGGGAATGACCAAAGTAGGTAAGATGAAGTTTGGCCATTCTCACTTCCCAGGAGCATTCGAGCTGCATTTCTTCCAGGACAGATTCACTAGTTCTTTTAGCAGTCCATGATACTATTATCAACACTCTTGCCCAACACCACGACTCAAAAGCACCGACTTTTCTCCAGTCTTCCTTTTTCATTGTCCAGCTCTCACAAGCATATGCAGTGATTGAAAATACCATGGCTTGTGTCAAGCGCATCTTAGTCTTCAAGGAAACATCTTTGCTCTTCAGCACTTGAAAGAGGTCCTTTGTAGCAGATTTGCCCAATGCTATATGACATCTGGTATCTTGACAATATCTTGACAATCTTGTCAATGTCATAAATGTAATGAAATGTTATAAATTCCTAAAGAAGTTTTCCTTTTACCACTTCTCTAGGTAATCCTCTACTGCCACCAATCTAGGTGGTTTAGGGAAGATTTTGCTCAAAATACCACTGATTCCTTAGAATTTATAGTCCAATCACTGTATTATTTATCCTGAGGTGACAGGCTTTAAGCACTAGATATCTTCAAGGTCAAACTATCTATAGTCACAGTATAGTTTCCGTAAGTAAATTAGTTTGATTCATGTTCATTTTTCTTAAGAGTTTCTATTCAGAAATTTCCAGCATCACCTCTTCTAAACAAAACCACGGGAGAGGAGTATAGTGAGGACAATGAGCTTGAGCTTCAAAGTGACGGAGACTTAGTCTGAATCGGACCTGTAATGTACTTGTGTGGGATGTACTGGTAAATTTGGAAACTCAAGATTTAGTTTTTTTCCCTGTCGTAAGGTAACAATGCCACTGACCACCCAAGACTACTGAGAAGATTAAACGAACACCAAAGATACCAAGGCTTTTTTGTGTTCTACCCTCCTTTCACCTCAGTCTGAAGCAGAACATCTTGGTTCCCTCAATAACAGGTTGTGTGACTGAGCCACAGTATCCAGTCATAACCACTCTCCACCTTGTGGCGCCTAGGAGACTCATTCCTGCTATGGGAACAGTTAGAAATATGCTCTGTGGATCACCTGACTATACTCTGTAGTGAAGGCAAACTCGAAATAATATTAGGAAATAATCTATTAAAAACTGATTTAAAAAAATAAAGAACAGCTAAACACTTATTATAAAAGCTGAAAAGACATTGGATGAATTCCAATATTCATCTCTAGTTTAAAGGAAAAAAACTCAATAAATTAGGAAAAATAAGGTATTTTCATAATGTGATTAAAAAGATTTATCTCCAATAAAATACCAAAAATCCTCCTTTTAAGAAGTGAGCAAAGCACCACAGACACAGCAATTCCCACGAGAGTGAGACTGAGACAAGGATGGCCGCCAGCACTGCTCTTAAACCGCCATTCTCTAATTCTTAGGAAGGGTCCTCAAGAGTCAGAGGTGGCAGTGGAAGGCCCCGTGCTGTCCGAGAGGAAAAAGACAGAGACCGCCTTCCTAAGAGGCGTGGCAGGGTTAGATGTTGTTCAACACAGATTCTGCCAAAACTGATGTTTAAATTTAATGTAGTTTGAATCACAAATAATTGGTTGCGTAGTTGGGGAAAGGTAGAACTCCATATACCTACAACATTTACATAGTTAATAGCCAAAACAAACCGATTCCAACTGCAAAGACATAAAACAAAAAACACGCATAGGTAATTAGTTATCTGGTTGGTCTTTGGGTAGAGAAGGTCTGACTCTCTAACCATAAAAAGGATAAAAATAAAGGAAACGATGGACATTTTTAACCACATAAAACTGCCCTTATTCATGCTGAAACATATCATTTATAAAATTAAAAGACACAAAGTGAAATGAGAAAAATCTGCGTCATGTATTACATAGGCAAAATACCTTAACATACAAAGAAATTCTTACAAACCTGAAAGAAGAGATAAACACAAAACATGGAGAACAAAACACAGGGAATTCACAATGCAGAGTTCACTCTACTAATCAAATAGAAATGAAAACAGGACAGCATATTTGTTTATCAACTTAGCAAATATGAAGGAGAAAAAGTACTCAAAATTCAAAGAAATAGATATTCTTTCATCCTACATCTAGGAACAATCAAAGCTAAAACAAAAACTTTTATATGAAAAAACATTAATCACAGTGTTTTAACAACAGCAGATTAATTTATTTGAAATATTCGTATGTAAAGGAATGCGACATAGCCATCAAAAATTATGTTTTCACGACATGGGAAAATATTCATATGAATATTAAGTTTTAAAATGTAACAAAGCAATGTCCTTTGTGTGTATATACAGGTAGTCCCCGAGTTCAGACTCATTCTTGAGCACTTACAAGTGCTTTCTGCTTGTTGCACATCTTATCGTTGCGAACATGTACATGCAGTCCCCAGGTTATGAACGTCCAACTTATATGCAGTTATGAACCAATTGCCCCTTGTAAAGCCTATTATATTAAAAATCTGAGGTACATACAATGGTTTATAATAATAAATGGGCACTACTTGTGACAGGCATCAAAACATAATTATCACTATTGTATTATTATGTTAAAGATGCTTGAGTATATGTGCAAGTGTTTCTTTAATGCTATTTATGCATAGAAAATATACTCAGTAATCTGGGGACTGGCTGTATTACATACAGTTCTGCAGCACATAATTTGTTGATGTTTATATGTAATATTTCCCATCTCCAAAGACAAAAGAGAGATCCTATTTATAAAGATACTGATATTAAAAGGCAATAATAATGAAAACCGAAAGGAAAAAAAAAGAGGCATTTGATTTACATCAGAACCTACTCAACAGAGCCATCTGAATAGAATCCCGCTGTAAGCCAAGAGCTACGTGTATGTTCACAAGAAGAAAAGACTACAAGGAAATCCACACTGCAAGGAAAATACACCAATCATTTTCAGTGCAAACTTCTGGGTACTGAGGTCACATACAGTATTTATTTCCTTCCGTATGCTTTCAAGAACTTTTTAAATTAGCTTCAATTAAAACCTGTTACTTTTATATTCAGAAAATAACAAGTGTCATCTCAAAGAGATAGTCTACAATACAAATTTCTGCTCTGCATTCTCTAAGGATTATCAACCCAGAGTATGACTTTAATTAGAATGACAATTTTTAAAATGAAAACAATGGTATGTATAAATGTTAAAAGCATCCGAAATACACATTTATTACAATACTCCCATTCTTATGCCAAGGTCTACAAAGTTGGCAACCAATATGACGTAAGGTATGTGGCCCCCACAGATACACAGACACAGGAAGGGTGGGTACAGAAACACTCCAGGAAGGGGTCAAAAGCCTGTGAATTCAAAAGATTTTCATATGGACTTAGATTTTATTCTTAGCTTTGATATAAACAAATTCCACGACTTCTACTACACAATAATTTTATGTTTTGCTCTGTGGCCTATCACATACATTTACAGTCATGCATCTCTTAGTCTATGCTTCATTCTGCGAAACAGGATGTTATGTGATTTGGATGGTGTACACACACTGTATTACATACAGGCAGTCCCTGGATTACAAATGAGTTCTATTCCTAAATTTGTCTGAAAGTCAAATTTGTGTATAAGTCAGAAGTGTTAGGTACTCTTCGTATCTAATGTCAGTTAAATGTTTATCTTAGTATATAGTGTATCTTTCTATGCATTAAAAAAAAACATTAAAGGAACAATTCCAGATACACTACATCTTTGACATACTAATACAGTAGAAATAATACTAATTGCTTGACGTGCAAAAAGTAGTGTTTTTTTGTTATTATGAACCATTGTAAGTACGTTGAATTTTTAATGTAATGGGCTTTACAGGGGTTCAGACCACAGATGTCTATGCAGTCAGACATTACCCAAACAGACTTTACACAGCACACAACTGTATATATAACATATGTGTATATATAGGTGTTTGAGTGTGTATGCATAAATAAGAAATGAATATTTAAATTAAAACAATCTAATATTTAAATAATGTTTACTATCAGAGGAAATAAACTTAAAGACTTCAAAACTTTCAATACAAGAATATGTTTTTTGAAGAAATTCACTGACAATAATCCATGCAGTTATTATTAGTGCATCTGAAAATGGTTCGTATGTTTCTTTAGTGCTAAACACACCACTAGCTATCATATCTGACACACAGACATTAAAGTATCACTTAATTTAATTTTGGAATTAAAAATAAACAAGATAATCAACATACCTAAATTAATTACACCTATTTTTTTTAAAATCATTTGTATAGAAGTCAAAGTTACCAAATTAAAAATAAACAGAACAAAGATCTTACAGCATCAAACTTTAAGAACATTCAGGATCAAATACAATCCCAAAATGAGTGTTTCTATTAATTACATCATTTTAGACCCTAATCAAATATATGAAGATCACTATATCAGAACAACATTCAGTAATTAGAGCTACAAATATGTTTAAACCCTGATATAATACAGGTCTACATAAACCCATGGAGGTTAGATTCTGAACATGGGGTGCCCTCCCCACTCACAGTAGATAAGACTTCAGTGATTTCTGAGATAGCTCTGTGTCACCAACATCCAAAGCTTCTGTGAACTTCCACCCTTCCTTACCTTGTCCCCTCAGTGCATCAGGTGAAATGGTAATGAGGTGACAAGAACCCATTAACATCTAACATGCCTTAACTTCCATTTTAACAAGCACAGGGTTCTCGGGGCTCAGGGTAGTTACAAGTCACTGAACAAGGTGAGGCCATCACAGGTTTGTCTTAAATGTCACCAGGGAGGGCATGCAAAGAATGAATATCCAAACCCAGGAATTGTGACTCAAGATTTCCTGCACAGGCTTCTGCATGGCAAAGACACGGAGCCAAGCGGGAGGCTGATACAGGGTTAGGGTGTCTGACCACACGAGCAGCAGTACTTACGTGTCGTACCTCTGCAGTGGTGTCACTTTGTTCTTATTCTTGTCAACTGAACCCGTGGACAGCTGAAGAAAATTGGGATTTAATTTATATAATTCTTGCAGCAGCTTCTGTTCATATTCTTGGTGTTTACCTGCCTAATAAAAGAAGGAATGAAAACTGCAGTGGGAGTCACAAAATAGCTGCTATCAAATACTGAACTACTTTCTGAATTATTAAAGGTCCCAAGTGCCACCACGGCATCACAGAACCCGTGAGCACACTCTTTCACAAAACTCCTAGACCAATGAAAATCTTCCAACAGAACTCAATGTATGTTCCAAGAATTAAAAAAGGTATTTCATCAACAAGCTTTATTGTGTAGAAAATCATATGAAGAGAACATTTTTACTAGCTAAAAAAAACCAGTCCATTTTAAACTCACTTCCACCACATCTAAAGCATGAAGTCTCTTTCTAAGAGGCAGTACTGAATTATTGAAGATCACCCCAAAAACAGTTTCGTAAGTTACACACAGGTGAAGAACTTTACCATGCTTCTCCTTACCCTGTCTGACACAAAGTAAAAATCTCATTAATTTACTTTCACTCTCTTCTTTCCTCTTTGTTAACAAGAATAAAATAAAAATTCATGTATTTTAAACTCTAGACCAGAGGTTAGCAATTTATCCTACTCCCCAAGTCCTGACAGCCACTTGTTTTTGTAAACAACCCATTACTGGGACACAGCCATGAACATTCGTTCACATACGGCTGCAACAGCTGACTGAGTAGTTGTGACCAAGATTGCTGGCCCTTGCCTAGGCACAGTAAGATAATATGCTATTTACTGTATTTAGGTAGCTGTATGTCAGAAGGCCACGTCACAAACATTAAAGGAGAAAATAGACAAAGACTGACTGTGGAAGGCAGTTATACCTCAAAATAAATGACAAAGAAATTACTCTGAATAACCTTTTGTTTATCTGCATGTGTATCATAACTGTATGTCATGACTGGAATGACAGACTGATTACATTTTCACTTACCGTTAGGGGTGTTAATTATGTAAAAATCGTGGCCAAAAAAGGTGCTATGGCAAAACCAAAAGAGAACAAAAACAAAACAATACGAACAAGGACGTTATCATTTGAGCGCCACTGTATCGTACACAGCACAATGCATCATCGTCCCCTATTCCAAGACCCTGTGTGTTTCCATGAGACCGAGTCACATAGTACGACATTCTGAGTTATGCAGTGACAAGATAAGAGCTTCTGATTTTTGCTATGACAGAATTTATTCAAATTTCTTTTGCACACTAAGGAAGTGTTTTAACGAAGAAATTCCCTTTCAAAGTGATTTTAAACTCAGTGCCTAAGGCATTTGACTGCTAACCAGAAGGCTGATGGTTCAAACCCACCAGCCATTCCTTGGAAGGAAGACTGGGCAACCTACTTCCGTAGTGATACTGACTTGGAAACCCATGGAGGCCTTGCTATGAGTAGGATCCAACTTGAGGGCAGTGAGCCTGGTTTGGTTTTGGTTTCAAGAAGAGTCAGATGAATTCAGAACAACACTATGAGAGGAATTTAAATTATTAAGAAAAAAATACAGTCAGATGTGAAATTTACATCTTTAAAACATGGACTTTTTTTGGAAATTTTTTCTGCAATCTATAGTTCAGGAGATGTCATGGCTTTCACTAGTCACAAAAAGCTCAAACTGACATTCAAATGATCCTTACTGGGGCAGTTCCTAAGACACAGGTTAAATCCCATTACAAGTTACAAGGGACTGTCCATCTAATTTCTTTCATTGCTCAATAATGCATAAAATGAGATCAACTGGGGTTTGGAAATTTTCTGAGAGACAGAAATCTGCACTGTAACAGTGCTTATGAGTATAACATATTCTCTACCAGTTAAATGTCAAGTGTGAAATTTAGATTTCATTTAAAAGAAAAAAAAAAAGATCAACAAGCAGTTACTGAATAAATAAGAAAATCTCTATCAAAGGACCTCATTCTAACACTGTCTTGGATGACAGAGACATCACTGTCAAGGAACTTGAGTGTGTTTATCATAATGGGATTTAGTCTGCAGCACCTCTGAGTCAAAAAAGGTCAGCTTTCAGGGGACTGAACACGTTGCTGTTAGAGGAGCCCCTACCAGACTTTCTCTAGTTGGACCTGGAGAATGAAAGGTAGCAATGAATGCCCCCCACCTTCCAAGTGAGAAGTACTCCTGCACAAGTCCACAGCAACAATCGGAAGTCCTCATCTACAATAGGGAAGGGCAGCATTGTGCCTTGGTACAGTCGTCATTTAAAATGCCGTGTGGTCAACATTTTACTTGTAAAGGCATGTTTATACTACAAATTGAAAGGAGACAGGAGAAGAGGAAATGTAAAAAAGAACAAAGGACAGTACACTTTCAGTTCACCCTGACAGGATACTGACTTGGTGGCACTTTCATGGGAAGAATTGTTTTTTAAAATGTTAGCACATCATCATCATCACCTGATAGAACAGCATTTTACAATATGCTCTGGGAAGAGTAAAGAAGAGGTAGAAACCCAACTAAGAATTACAATGTCCCTGTGAGCTCCCATTTTGCTGACATCTCTATTAAAGTAGCATCTCCTGAAGTGTTTTCCGTGGTCTGTAAGTGATGGCTGTACAGGGTACTATACACGCCCCTCTCGGCTGTGTATTAGCCTGTGGGTAGGGATTAGTCCACAAGAAACTCCGAGTAGAAACCTACACCAAAGAAACCTGGTAAGTTCACTGACTCGAGCATTTCAGACACAGACCCTCTTTTGTTATAATAATATAATAATGCATGGAATACTTTGTTTGGAAAATACCACTTTAAAGTAATACCAGTTTGAAAAAACCTTTAGATTTGCTTGTGTAATTTTAACTTATAAAGAAAAAGTACTTCCTTTTCTACAAAGTTGATAATTCACATTACTTTACTACCTGCATTTCCTCTTTTGTGAAGCTGGCCGCCTCATCCCCCAATTCATGTAGATACATGCAGTCGGGCTTTGGGCACTGCATATTCTTTAAGAAGTAACTGCAATATTTTGTTGTACCTAGAGATGCCTGCAGGAAGAGGAAGGAAGGAGAGAAGGACTGAAAATGTGAGCAGACACCACCATCAGAATTTCCAGTGTTTGCTCCTCACTGACTACAAAGTGCCGACATGACAAAACGGGAGCGTGGCTGCGAACACTGGAGACTGGACCACTGCTGGGAGGGCTCGGTCAAGATGAGGCTCATCTGGAAGAGCTAAGGAAAGCACTCAGTCATGGTTTCTGGACTTGAGCACCTGGGGGAAAATCCAGACAAAATCTATTCCGTGTTGCAACTGTTTAGGGCACCTAAGAAGGCAAATTCCTTTTCCGACTGATGCTGTCTTTCTTGCATTTACATAAAACAGCCTAGTGGAATCTTTCACTTAAACTAGAATCAACAGTGTTCAGATATATCTGGAGAACAAAGCAGAACCATTGCCTATTTCTGATGAGAAGAATACTGGTTCCATTTTCACAAGATATGTAGACTGGTATGAGTGCTTAAGAAGCAATCTTCAAATGTCTTCAAAATATGTAAGTGTCAGCCTCTTGTCTAGTTGCTATCTCTCATCTCCCACCCACCCCCCAGAAATCAAGAGGACCATGTTACCTTAAGTGTTCTGCCATCTACCACCACGTTGTTGACACACTGTATGGCTCTGAGAGCATCTTCTGACCGGATATAGGTTACATAAGCACTGGCACTTGGACCCTAAAGTAAAAACATCCCATTCGATTGTTAGTTTCAAAATGTGTAAATACTTGGGGGGGGGGGGGGGGGCTCTTCTGCAACCTGCTGAAGGAATTCCACAGACCTTTATTACCACTATCATTAATAACAATTAGAAGTAGCAGTGGTTTTGGTTAAACAGTATATACTACCACCTTTTAAAAAAAAACATGCTAAAGAAGTTTATCTGATTTTCTGGTTTTGGTATAACATATATGAAAACAGTATATACTACCACCTTTTTAAAAAAATCATGCTAAAGAAGTTTATCTGATTTTCTGGTTTTGGTATAACATATATGAATAAATACCTTCTTTGGCTTGGCATTTATTTCTTTAGGAGGTCAACTGACAGGCTCATAAAGGTTATAAGAAAAAAATTGAAATATATATTTAATAAAGTAAGATTTTAAGACTGTGCCAAATTATGGTCTCCCAAAATAAATGCCATCTACAGAACTATTCTATGTGCTAGTATCAGCAAAGATATATACACATGTATGTGTGCGTGTGTGTGTATAAATATAATATATATAAAAAACATAATGAAGACAGAGATAAGAAATCAAGGACACACACACACATATACATATATATACATACACACACCAAAAAACCAAACTCACTGCCGTTGAGTTGGAGCCAACTCATAGCGACCCCTCCTTGGGTTTCCGAGGCAGTATCACTCTGGAAATAGATTGCCTCACCTTCCTTCCGAGGAGTGGCTGGTGGGTTTGAAACGCCAGACTTCTGGTTAGCAGTCAAGTGCCTTAGGCACTACACTATACCAGAGCTCCCATACCTGGTGGGTTTGAACCACCAGCCTTCAGGTTAGCAGTAAAGTGACTTAGGCACTACGCTATTCCAGAGCTATGACTTAAGTGGGAGCTCTGGTGGCATACTGCCTAAGGTACTTGACTGCTAACCAGAAGGTTGGCGGTTCAAACCCACCAGCCACTCCTCAGAAGAAAGGTGGGGCAATCTACTTCCAGAATGATATCGCCTCGGAAACCCAAGGAGGGGTCGCTATGAGTCGGGTCTGACTCGACAGCATGTAACAACAACAACAACAACAACAATACACACACACACACACACACATATACACATATACATACACACACACAGAGCGCGCAAAGATGCTCTGTTAAGTTTTCAATATCTGAGACTATTAATGATTTGTTATTGTTGTTGTTGTTAATGATTAGGACTCACTAATTATATTAGATTGTCTGATAACAGACTCAACTCCCCCTCCTGTTCACCCCATCACTAAACCTTTGTCTTACTCCTTTCCCTCTTATTACTATCCCTTTACTTAAGTCCTGTTGTTGTAATATGCCGTTGTCACAATTTCAACTCATAGCGACCCCTCCTCCTTAAGTTTTCAAGGAAGTATCACTATAGAAGTAATTGCCCCATCTTCCTTCCGAGGCATGGCTGGTGGGTTTGAACCATCACCCTTCTGGTTAGCAGTCAAATGCTTTAGGCACTACACCATAAGAGATCCCACTCAAGTCATAGAAGAGTCAAATAAGCACCAAAAATTCTCTGTTCCACCAATAGAGGGCTCTACTGCTTAGGTCCTCAGGATTTCTAATCACAGAAAGCAAGGCTTCCTGCTCAAGAGCCCAGGTCAAGCCCAAACCATAGGGAGGAAAGGCAAAGATCCTTATAATCAGTTACCTGTGAGCCTGCGTATGATGTGCTATTATTGATGACAACTTTATGGATTTTACCAAACTTCCCAAAATATTCTGGTCGTTTTAAAACCTAGGAAAGAAGAAGAAATAAGGTATAAACTGGCTCATTTTCATCAATGTTATCCATATAATGGGGACATTCACCATCTCTTTTCGGTGAAAGGAAAAGAGTACTTTTTTAAGGTTTCTAATAAATGTGATGACTTCCTAGTTAATGTGTGGGGCTAACCTATAAGAAATCACTGACAAAGTTGAACAGCTGTTCATTAACAAAGTCTAACAGCAATTCTTCATTGACCCAGCAACAGAAAGGGAGACTCCCTAGGTCTGCCATCTGCACCAATAGCCTACAGCATCCTACCTGCACAGAACTCTTAAATAGAAACCAGATCAAAGCTTCTAATCCCATTTTCATTAATACAGGATTCTTAAAAGAAAGTAATTCTCAAAACAATGACCAAAATTACATATTGAAGACAGAGATAAGAAATCAAGGATGGACATAAGTAGATAATCTTTACCCGTAAATCATCGTATGTGGCAATATTTACTGTATCGAAACAATGCTTTATAAACTACAAATTCAAATAAAATGAATGTCCCTTAACCTTCTCTGCTTTATGAATAATCACTGTGTATGTATTTAGTTAACTCATGTTGAATCTTATTCAATTTTGTGGTTGTTGTTAAGTGCCATCAAGTCAGTTCCCACTCATAGTGGCCCTGCGTACAAGAGGATGAGATCCTGGCTGGCCCTGCACCATCCTCAGTCACGGCCGTGCCGTAGTCATGGCCGTGCCGCAGTCATGGCCGTGTCGGAGCCATGGCCGTGCCGGAGCCCACTGGTGCAGCCACTGTGTCAGTCCCTCTCACTGAGGTTCTTCTTTTTCTGCCGACTCTCGACTTTCCCAAGCACGATGTCCTTCTCCAGGGACAGGTCCTTCCCAGTACCATGTCCAAAGCATGTGACACAAAGTCTTGCCATCCTTGCTTCTAAGGAGCATTCCGACTGTCCTTCTTTGATGACAGACGTGTCTGTTCTTCTGACAGTCCACAGTATTATTCAATATCCTTCGCTGACACCATTCATTCAACTACATTAATTTTTCCTCCGTCTTCTTTATTAACTGTCCAGCTTTCATACTGTGGTACAGTGAATTACTTAATATGGCTCTTCTAGCCATAGTCCTTGTGACTCTCACCAAATGACTAGGTAGGACTATGCAAATATGAGGTGCTTGTGCCCCACCAACGTGACTGGATAGCTTGCTAATAATGTAAGTAAGGGGTGTGACACCCGTGTGGCATCAGGACCATGGAAATAAGGTGTATAAACCCCCAATGAGGAGTCTGGCCAGTTTTACCATCCCACTAGGCTTTTAAGCCACCTCAGAGGCGGGAATGGGGGAATCTCAGTGTCATTAAGAAAGAAGCCAGGAGGGGAGTGTGTCCTTGGGCCTGAGATCCCTGCGCTGAACCAGTTCAATCCAGGAGACAACTGTGACAACAGAGGCGGCCAGACGGCTAGAAGGAGCGGCAGAGAAACAGTGGCAGCAGAGACCGCAGAACCCAGAGACCGGCACAAGACAGGGTGGTGGGCCTCCTGGACCAACGACTGAGAAAGCTGAGTGCCTCTGGCATACTGGTGGAGTGGTGGGCCTCCAGAAACTTGGTGGAGCTAGTTCATCGATACTAGCTAGTTCAGCTTCATAGAGCTGAGCACCTTTGGGCTGAGGTGGCAGGACCGAGAGGTCAAGGGCCAGAAAAGTGTGCCTGTAGGTACTGTCGAGAAGAGGCTGACACAATCAAAGAAATGCATCCTAAGTTGTTTCTGATGATGTTACTTCCTTAATGAACCCCATAATTGTAAACATTGTCTGTGAGATCTGTATGGCCATCATAACAAATTATCAAACCCAGCAGAGAACCAGAGTGCCGTGGGAGGGATGGCTGGTATCAGAATTGGTTAAAAAAAAAAAAAAAAAAAGATTGGAGGGTGGTGGCATGTTGGACCTCTGCCTTACAGAAATCAGCCTTGGGCTGCCATTGATCTTGATCCTCCTCTGCCCTTGTGAAGTGAGAGGAGGTCAGACATTGCCCCACACCATTTTTACACACATGTGTATGAGACAACTGAAAATACCATGGTTTGGGTCAAGCACTTATCAGTCCTCAAGGTAACATCTTTGCTTTTCAACATTTTAAAGTAGTCTTTTGCAGGAGACTTTCCTAATACAATACCTCCGGGGTGTTAAGACTACTACAGCAAATCACATGGATTAGAAGGTGAGCCAACGGAACGTGAATACACACTAGACACTGGTTTTCCATCTGCATCCCCTGAGGAAAGGACAGTAATGATCTTCCGGTTTTTCACAGCAAAGTCTCAGGGTTGAGGGGTAGGAAGGGTATAGCTTGGAACTTCACTCAGTCTTCCAGCTGATGCATACCAACTTAAGAGGCGTCCTAGCCAATGCCTGCTCCAAAGGGTTCAGGCTGGTCACAGGCACTCCTGACCAGCATCTTCTATCACGTGTGAGTTTAGGGCAACAGTTCTCCATGTAGCAGCTTTATGCCCCAGGTGGTTTTGGTTTTGGTTTGCTTGTTTTGGAAATTTGTGGGAGCTTTCATTGGGGAGGTTATCAGAGTGACTGAGACCTCACTGGTATCCACTGGGTGGGAGCCAGGGATGGTGGGTATCTCAATGCCCATGCTTGTTCTTGCACAACTTCTGAATGTTCTACAAGACACTTTTGTAGCGGAAAACCTGTTTATAATTTAGTGAACCCAGAAATATATTCCATCTTATATATAAACACAAAGTATTTACCCAAAGTTTTGACATACATTGAATTTACAGAGAAGCAAGTAACATGTATGTGAGGAAAGAGGACACATGCTCTGCCTGAAATATTACTAATAGCAGTTTTCACAAATCACATTATTAGCATGCTGTGGTACCTGTGTTGCCACCACACACACACCCTGTATCAGTCGGCACTGGTAGCTGCCATATTTGCAGTGATTCTACACAAAGGTACAAGCATCTTACTATTTCATTTTGTCGTCTAAAGCAGTGCTTCACGCACTGAGACACACACACAAATCATCTGAGGAGCCAGTCAAAATGCAGATTCAGATTCCGTATTGGGGGCGGAGTCTGAGAGTTTGCATAATGACTTCCCAGGTGATACTAATGCTACTGGTTCATGAACCACACCTGGAGTGACAGGTTATATAGTAGTGACGTCCAAGCACTTATTTGTAGAAACAGCATTTTTATAATTATTTTTGGTTTTCTTTTAAATGACAAATAATGGCAGTATATTGGGTTTTTTCAAAGTATGTGCGTAGACAGATTATGTTATCAAAAAAGTCATTTCCTGAAAGTCAAAGGGTATTATAAAATATCAGTGGGGGAAAAAAAGGTGAAGAGACACACTATGCAGCTACAGTAACTATGACAGACTATTACTGGTATAGTAACAGGCACACAGACCAATGGAATAGAACTGAGAGTCCAGAAATAAATGCAAACCTAAGGTCAACAGATTTTTGACAAGGGTCCTAAAAGAATTTGATGGAGAAAGAGGAGTCTCTTCAAGCTGGATACCCACGTGCAGAAGAATAAAACAGGATCCATGCAGCACACCATAAACAAAAACAAATCCAAATGTTTTTAAAGACCTAAATGTAAAACTAAAACCATAAATAGGACAATACTGTTGAGCCCAGCTTTTAACAAAGGATTATCTAATGAAATAACAAAAGCACCAACAAGAAAAGATAAAATAAATAAATGGGATGACATAAGTAAAAACTTTTGTTCATTAAGACTTTACAAAAAAAAAAAAAAAAACCTGAGAATACAAGCTAATGACTGGGAGAATAACTATGGAAACCAAATACTTGACAAGAATCTAATAACAAAAATATATATAAACTTCAACAACAAAACAAAGACAACCCAATCATAAAATGGGCAAAGAACTTGAAGTGACATTTCACCAAAGAGGACACTCAAATGGCCACCAAACACATGAAAAGATGCTCAAGATCATTAGTCATCAGAGAGATGCAAATCAAAACTATTTTATCATTTCACTCTCACTAAGATGGCTAAAATTTAAACAAAACATAAAATAATAAATGTTGGTGAGGATGTGGCCATAAGAAGCTGTTGTGGAAAAGCATGGTGTTTCCTGAAAAAACTAAAAATAGAACTACCCTATGGCCCAGCATTTCCATGGTAGTTAAGGTTATATGTCAACTTGGCTGGGCCTGGTTTTGAGTGGTTGAGCAGATCAATGTAGTTATTCCCTGTGATAAGACTAGTAATCAACTCCATGGTGAGAACTACTGTGAGCAGCTGAGTAGTTGCGTCAGGGGTATGATCTGCTTCCAGTATATAAGCAGCAACTCTGAGAAAGGTCTCTAGCTTTTTGGCATGCTTGGATCCTGCATTTAGCCAAGTCTTCATTCAGCCTGCCGTGTTGTTTGCCAATCTTGGGACTGTTTCTGGACTTGAACTAGTGGCCTACTGTGCTGTCCAATAATCTTGAGACTGTGCCATTTTACTTGTCGACCTTCAGTGTGTCAGCCTCAGCAGTCAGCACCTGCCCGAGTTAAGAGATACCTCCAGCTCCTGGGCCTTCACCAAGCCCCTAAAGCTGGCACTTTGAACTTGGACTTCTAGCCTCCTAAAATTTAAGAGAATAAATCTCTGTTTGTTAAAGTCATCAAATTGTGGTATTTCTGTTAGAGCAGCATAAGAGGGCCAAAACACACTGCTAGGTATATACCCAAAAGACCTGACCTGGAAAATAGACTCAAACAGATACTTGTACGCCAATGTTCACTGCAGCACTATTCACTACGGTCAAAAAGGTGGAAAGAACCTAAGTGCTCATCAATAGATAAATGGATAAACAAAATATGGTACATATACAGAATGGAAAACTACTCATACAGTAATAGAAATGAAGTCTTGATTTATCCTAAAATATGGATAGAGCTTAAAGACAATTTTGTTGAGCGAAATAGGTCAGTCACAAAAGCACATGTATTACC